AGTGGGGGTTGGGGGTCGTGGTGGGAAGGTGTAGGTTGGGGGGAGGGGGCCGGGTGGTGTGTTCAGGGTCAGATAGGGGTTTTTTGGTCCTTTAGGTGTGTTTGGGGGGGGGTGTCAACGGGGGGTGAATTTTTTTTATTTTTTTTTCTGGTTTGAGTGTTCAAGCACGTAGGCACACGTGTCCGAGGCCCAACGCGCGAATTCCGTTTTTCGGAATTCAACGCGAAGCCCCTGTTTTTGCGTTAAACGCTCCAGGGGCCCGTTAAACGGATGAACAGACGTTGAATTTTGCCCATTCTCCGTTCAAAAGATACACAGATTGTGGCAACCCATTCATTGAGAGAAGGGCAGGGGGTGGATGGGTTGAGCTGCGAGGGGAGCAAGAAATCGGAGGGCAAGCGAGGATGGTAGCCAAGGTCAAGGTAGAATGGAGACATGTCAGTGGAGGGGTAGACAACATTGTTCTAGGCGATCAGGGTGGCGGTGAGGAGCTGGTCCCAGTCGTGCGAGTGGGGATGACAATACTTCCGAAGGGTGCATTGGAGAGTATCGTTCATCTTCTCGGTTTGACCAGCAGTTTGGGGGTGGAAGGCGGTGTTGTACTTGAGTGTGATCCACTATTCCTTGAAGATGTTTCTCTAGAACTGTGAAAGGAAACGGGAGTCAAGGTGTAGGGCCCAACCCTGTTAGACTTTCGAGCCTGTGTCAACCCCATTGCGGTTCCCACTTGGCTCTACTCCGCCCACACTCATGCTCAGGGCGCGGAGCACTCGTCACAGGGACATCTGCACCTAGTGCTTTGAGATGGATGGGGATGGTCCATTTTGTGAGAGAGTTTTGACCTCTCGATGGATGGTAGACTCGCCAATCCTTTTCGTCAAACACGGTTTTTTCTCGATGCTTTGAGGTGTTATCACGCAATAGTTCCTCCCAATGCTTAAGCAGTGCAGGGATTTTATTGAAAGCCTCTCTTCTTTTATGCGTAGGCCAAGCGTCCTCCTTGGTCCACGCATCCATTCACTAAGCAGAGGTCCTTAAAGCCTTGTTGAGGCCGTGGCCGCCCTTCGGCTTGGGCCCGCAGACCATGTCTCGCAATCCTTCTTACGCCTCCCTAAGGCTTTGTCTGCTTCCTTTTTTGGCTGTCCTATGCGTGACTTTCATTGTCGCATACATCATGCACACCCTTTTTTTCTCATCCGGCCTTTGCATTTGTCCTATACACCGCTTAGTCTTTTCGGGGCCCCATCCCGCATGCACACTCCATTTTTTTTTTAAATCTTGGCGGCCTTCTCGATCGCCTTGTGCTTTTGCGACTTTGCTACAACCGTCTTTACAAACATGCTCAATGTGCAATAAAGCTTATTCATGGGTAAGAGTTCTTATTCATGGGTAAGAGTTAAGTCCACAACCCGTTTGATTTCAGTCCCCTTTTCTCTCTGCCGCCCGGCATACCCGAGGCCCAATCCCCCTCATTGAATCTTTAGAGGCTACTCACCTGCACACTCAATACAATTTATACAAAGGCATCCCCCACATGGGGTCAACACAATCCCTCCCACAGGCCTAAGTTCATTCATCCTTAGTCCTTTGTGCTTTCCCTTTCCTTCTTTAATCCAGGTCAATCTCTTCCCTTAGTCATGCAGCGGGGTAATGGTTGAGTCAACCGACCTTGCTTCAAGTTATCAACTTTTTCTAGTCCCTTTCCGGACTTGCCTCCCTCCAATTTCTCAAGTGCCTTTTCCTTTCCTTCTTGGTCGCACAAGAGACCGACTGCCCCTCCCCTGCCCACTTTCTCCACCAAGTGAGGACAAATTCCTTTCACCGTTCGTTCCTTGACAATGTAACGAGTGGGGAAGGGTTAGTTATGTGCCAAGAGGAGAGAGGGGAAGGAGGTAAGGTAAAGGCTTTAGAACGTGGGAGAAGAACGTCGACGAGGCGGCGGTGATAGAAGAAGAAGGGGAAGAAAAAGAGAGAGAGAGAGAGAGAGAGAGAGAGAGAGAGAGAGAGAGAGAGAGAGAGAGAGAGAGAGACTTCCTATGCCTAATCAAACTTATCCCCTACTTGTCCTACCGTCCTACCTAAGGTTCTCTTTCTATACCTTATTTTCTTTGTGTTCCTTTGGTCATGGCCTTTGGTTGGTGAATGAGATGAAGTGGAAGGGGGGTATGAGGCGGTTGGGTATAAAGGATGGTTGAAGAAGATGGGGAAGGAGGGTGGTGTAAGGTGGTTGGCTATGGTGGATGGGGGACGAAGATGGAGGAAGGTGTATGGTTGTTGGCTATGGTGGATTGGTGAAGAAGGCGGAGGAGGAAGAAGGTGCGGGGTGTTTGGCTATGGAGAATGGGTGAAGAAGACGGAGGAGGGAGACAGTTTGAGGTGGTCGACCATGTTGGATGGGCGAAGAAGATGGAGGAGGAAGAGGGTGTGAAGTGGTTGGCTATGGTGGATGGTTGAAGAAAACAGAGGAGGAAGAAGGTGTGAGGTGGTTGGCTATGGTGGATAGGTGAAGAAGATGGGGGAGGGAGATGGTGCGCGGAGGTTGGCTATGGAGGATGGGTGAAGAAGATGGAGGAGGAAGAAGGTGCGAGGTGATTGGCTATGATGGATGGGTGAAGAAGATGGAGAAGGAAGATGGCGTGAGGTGGTTGGCTATGAAGGATGGGTGAAGAAGATGGAGGAGGAAGAAGGTGCGAGGTGATTGGCTATGATGGATGGGTGAAGAAGATGGAGAAGGAAGATGGCATGAGGTGGTTGGCTATGAAGGATGGGTGAAGAAGATGGAGGAGGAAGAAGGTGTGAGGTGTTCCACTATGGAGGGTGGGTGAAGAAGTCGGAGGAGGGAGGCGGTGTGAGGTGGCTGGCTATGGAGGATGGGTGAAGGCGGTAGAGGAGGAAGAAGGTTTGAGGTGGTCGGCTATGGAGGATGGGTGAAGATGGAGAAAGAAGAAGAAGGTGTGCGGTGGTTGGCTATGGTGGATGGGTGAAGAAGACGGAGGAGGGAGGCGGTGTGAGGTGGTTGAGTATGGAGGATGGGTGAAGAAGATGGAGGAGGAAGAAGATGTGCGGCGACCGATATCTCCCCCTATTCTAAGTGTCTGGATTCGTCTCCCCTAAGTTATCCCTAGTCTCGGACTTCAAATCACTCCTAACTTGGTGGGCTCTCTGTATGTACCCTACGGAAGACCCCTATGAAATTGGGGGCGATTCCGTCGCCGTTTGCCCTTACTTGCCCTCTTCGGGCGGCGTCCGGGTTTCAAGGCGAACAGTTCGGTAAAGTCCATTTCCCATTTTTGGAGAAAAATGGACTCAGACGACCTGCAGAACCTGGTCATCTATGTATGCCTAGGATATGAGGTCTGAGAAGTCTTAGCCCTCATCTCCTTGGTTCGGCAGAACTGGCCTAAGCGCCTCCCAGTCACATTGGCCCCTTAGTCTTTTTTTTCGGACCGGCCCGGGCTCCAGAGGTTGGCCATCGACTTTTCAGCAGTAGCATAAACAGCCAAGGGTTTGGGCAGACATCAGCAGCAACAACAAGATTATTATGAACAGCAACAGCAGCAACAACAACCCTAGTAAAAAAAACAGTATTTTTCCCTACCTACTATTTACCGCGTTCGATTAGAGCATGGGGCGGGGAACAAGCGGGATTGAAAATAGAGCACGGGGGAAGGTGAGATTGAACTTCAGACAGGCACATGGGTAGAGGAATGGTTACAGCACTTAGGACACTAGACTGAATAAAAACACAAGTAGCGATCTACACCCGAGTGAAGATTTGGACGAAACAAGAAGAGAGAGAGAGTGTAACTCACTCCCAAGCATGAACACACTAAGTGGGAAGTAGCGATTCACTATAGAGCGAAAAAATGGACAAAGCATAAGCTCAAGATGACTAAAACACTAGAATG